ATTCACATTGGTGTGATGTAGTAGTAGAAGTGTGTGTGTGTGTGTGTGTGTGTGTGTGTGTGTGTGTGTGTGTGTGTGTGTGTGTGTGTGTGTGTGTGTGTGTGTGTGTGTGTAGTTATGATGAGATGGCTCTGAAGGACCTCCCTGTGGTGGTGAACCAGATCCTGAAGGTGACGGGTCAGGAGCAGATTTACTACATCGGACACTCTCAGGGAACCACCATCGGTAACACACACACACACACACACACACACACACACACACACACACACACACACACACACACACACACACACACACACACACACACACACTTGTTAATGAGCTTCCACACCTGACTCCGCCTCTCTGTCTCTGATTTCCCAGCATTCATAGCGTTCTCCGCGCTGCCCGAGCTGGCCAATAAGATCAAGATGTTCATCGGTTTAGCTCCCGTAGCGACTGTCTCCTTCGCCTCCAGCCCGATGGCCAAACTCTCCGTCATGCCCGACTTCTTCATCTGGGTACGAGATGCTAACGAGATGCTAATGAGATGCTATCAGATAACCTGCTAACAAGCTAATATCACAGATTAAATCAAGCTAAATCTAAAAAACTAATTACACGTGACCTGCTAATGACTTCATATCACAGGATTGTTACCAAGCTATTAGTTATAGTTTTCCTCAGTTTGGATGTTAATTGATTTCCTGTATGTTAATTGGTTAATTGATTTCCTGTCCCCAGGATCTGTTTGGTAGGCGGGACTTCCTGCCTCAGAGTCACATGATCGAGTGGTTTGCAGAACACATTTGTGCGGAGCAGCCTCTCAGCAAGCTGTGCGGAAACATTTTTTTCATCCTCTGCGGCTTCGACGAGAAGAACCTCAACGTGGTGCGTAACAACAACAACAACAACAAAAAGCTTTATTTAATTTTTCACTGCACTGTTAGTGTACAGTTTTATTTTTATGTTGCTTCGTTTATTGTATTTTGGTAATTCTGGCACAACTATTTATTTCGCTATAAATAAAGTCCTTTCTTATCTTACCTTATATTTGGATTGTAGTACGTTAAAATAAAAACCACCACTGGGGGGCGGGTTATCATTTCAGTTTTGAAATATCTGTTTTTTGTTTCCAGTCTCGGACGCCGGTCTACACTGAACACTGTCCTGCCGGGACCTCGGTCATGAACATGGTCCACTGGGCCCAGGTAACACACACACACCTGTCTGCATGTACTTGTGGGGACCCTGATGTACATGATTCATGACCGGGACCCAAAACACCTCGTTGATTTCAGGCGGTTCACGGAGGGAAACTGATGGCCTTCGACTTTGGAGCCAGAGGGAACATGAAACACTACAACCAGGTGAGACTCTGCAACACCTGAGAGTCTCTTAGTTCACTCATCAGTTTTTATACTTTAAATCTTTCTTAGTTTTGTTTGGCTCCTTAGAACTCAGGTTGCATGTCTGAAACAACAAAAGAAAACTGACAATGTTTAAGATAATGATGTGAAAACACAAGGTGTAACACCAAAAACAACACTTTACTGATATATTTGTATAGTAATAATATATACTGGGTTTTTAAAATGTCTCAACAAATCTGTGTCTTGCCTAAGTATATATTTATATTTGCTCTTAATTTTTTTAAATTACAATATTGCTTTGGTAATAATATTATTAACATTTTATTACATGGCTTAGTTGAATACTATATTCTGATTGGTCAATTCAGAACATGTGACACGTTGTTAATTCAGAACAGACAGACCGCTGTCAAGGACTTATTGACCGTTGTTAAGGACGCTCACATCTGCAGAAAGAAGTCCGGTCGATTTAACTTCATGCAGTTGGGCTCAAAAGCAAACTGCCTGCAGCTTGCTTTTCGGACTGGGACAAGAAAAAAGTGGAGAAGTAACGGGGCAGAAACCCTCCTTTTTACGCAGCGGTCCAGACATAGACATCAAACGGCAAAACATATTCAGAGTGCAGTTCCTTTGGCATTAGGGCAAGGATATCTAGATACTTCCCAAGGTTTGACATCATGACTTCTGCTACTTTTAAAGCAAGCAACGATGTTTTCAAATCTGTAATCAAAAAGGTCCGCAAAAACGCTATGGAAGCAGTTCCTGCTGTTGCTACGTAGTTCAAACGGTAACAACAGACTATTTTTGATCTGCCTGTCGGGTGTTCTTTTACCCATAATGACCGCCTCGC